CATATTTAATTTCGACACGCGAAATGTGTAGACGCCACTAAAGCAATACATGCATAATAGTTTGTGTGAAACATTAAATAAAAAGATATCACGGTTATTGAAAAAAAAAAAAGTGGTATTTTACGGTATTTCGATCGAAAAGCCGGACGACCAACTGTTTCGGGGACGGGTTCGACGGATTTTAATTGGGCCTAGATTGATTCACAAGAGTTAATGATGAGTTTGGTCGGAGGAAGTATTAAATATTCCGAAATTCGTATGATTATGAAAAATAATATTAACAGAAAAATGCCATGCTTTTTGTTCGTTGATATCACAGCGGGAGAGAGGGGATAATTAAAATTGTTACGTTGTTAAACAGTCCGTTTTAAATTATTAATGTCAGTCGAACCCAGTCGCAGTGGGTTAGCGTAAAAGTCGTATCATTAAGATGTGGCCATTGATAGGTGACAGATAATTTTAAAATTGTACGAAATCGGAAAACGTTTTGAAAACCGTCTCCGATCCGCTCGAGTGAAAATGTTATATTCGGCATTTTCGAAACACACGCGTGATACCCGCATGGCGCAGTCTAACAAATGCGTACGGCGTACCGAATTTGCGGTCGACAGGGACAGTATTGCGCGCTGTTAACATCGACATTACAATGAATCGACCAGTTACGAAAAATACTTAAAGATATAAGAACATTATTGGTTACGCTTTTTCAATTGTTTGAAAAAAGCAAAAAAAAAAAAAAAATAATTATAACAATTCTATATAACCATTTGGTCCGGGTTTTTACATTTCTCGTTAACTAAATTTGAATTTTTTTTCATTGCTATATAGCATAATGTAAACGTATTGAAACGCCGCAGCCGGCATACAGATTGCAAAAGAATAACAGAAAAAGTCGAAAAAAGTTGAAAAAAAAAAAAAAAATCGGAAATCGGAACGACGTTGAAACGAGTTTGCGTACGGAAAACTAAATCTCACGTGTTGCAGAAAAAGAAACGTATACGCTTTAAAATCCGAGCCCTAATCAGTATCGGTTTGTGATAATATCATTTGTGTACACTCGACTGACGCGTGATGATAATAATAAAAATGATAATAAAAAAAAAAAAACGTCGACGGTGTTTTCCCGCGACCCTCCGTCGTAACAATGTTCACGCGGAAATCCGCGCGATCGTGTTTTGCGGGGTGGCGGTCGCCCCCGGGACCCCCGCTGCCCCCGCTGTACAACGCGTAAAAGGTTAACGAAGAGCCGCCGAACGTTTTCAGGCGGCTATACCGCAGCCGCCGTTTTTGCGCGGTTACTATTGTTGTCGTTATTGTTGCTATTAGACGCGGTGTGAAATTATAATTCCAAACGACTTGCGACAATAACGGAACGATGATGTTTACCACAAATGATATTTTAACATTATAGGTGTTATCACTATTATTGGGTGTATTGTGATATCGGGGGTTTTTTTTTTTTTTTTTAAATTTTTTTTACGAGTAAAAACAAAATAGAAATGCGCGCCTATAATTTAATAGTTATTACAACAGCGAATACGCCGCCGTATAACAGCGAACGGTAATTAAAAATCCAATGGAATTCTATAAAATATACGTATACACATATACACGAGTATATGTATACATAATAGTAATCCGCCGCTGGGTCGACGGATCGCTCGCGGATTATATTCGTTTTGCATACGCGAACGCGTGTAATGTTTTCGTCCGCGACAATAATTCGTGTATAATACGTTTGGAGATTAATCGTTTAAAATGCACGCGACGTAACACCCGCTAGTCGCAATTAACACGCCGGTGAAAAAAAATCAAATAAGTTTGGTTTGGTTTTTTTTTTTTATTTTTCATACGCTCTCTGCGAAACCGAATGATTCGCCTAATAAAATATGTTATTCCGCGGTCGACGTGCGTGTAGAACAAGTAAAAAAAAAAAAAAAACCATATCTTTACGCGAGTACAGCGTAGCAATATTATGCGTTGTTTTAGAACGATGGCAGCTTTTCGCGGCTTTTGCGATGACGAGCGGCCGATCGCGTAGTGCCCCGCAGACGAAACACACTTCTCGGGTTATAGAAACGTTAACACAATTATTATAGCAACGGCAAAACATTACGACGTCTTAGTTTTTTATCCGTCGCACCGACCAATCTAAACAAAATACCGTATACGTTTAATTAAGGTACACGCAGCGGTAGTATACGAGTGTTCGAAAGTCGTCGTTTTTCGGGCAAAAACTGTTTCGATTCGAAATATTGTTATACAGACTATACGACCGCAGGGCATAGGCGTGCGCAGGCTCCAAGTTCGGGTCGCGCCCGAGAAAAATGAACGAATCCTCTTCCCTCTCCCCCATCACCGCCAATCAACTTTTATTACCTTTCAATACTAGATAATTCAAAAAATAACAATTAATTCTATACACTGTCTTCAAATTTGTGGTCACGATTATATCAACTATCTGATTGAATATCATACACTCCGTAAAAGGAAATGTTCCTTTGTAGTCTTCAATCGGTAATCGCAATACATAAATAAACGACTTGGACAATTACAATCAAGCCAGTATATTTGGTAACACAGTCGTAAAATATAAGAACGGAATGGGCAGTGAAGTCGAAACGTATGAATTAAATTTTTTAATCGAGGAAAAAAAGTGATGGCGATTTTACAAAATATAAAACTTGTACCTACTGTTATCGTATGTCAACATAATAGCAAATGAAAATGTTTGTATACAGTTTTCGGGTATTGCACGTCCTGTGCGCACGCCTGTGCTGCAGGGTTGGATTAAGGGCGACAGGAAGCGTTTGACGTAGCCAAGTGGAAGAGGCCACGGCATTTCGTCTAGTTTTTTTTTTTTTTTTTTATTTTAATTTTCCCGTATAAAAATATATCGTAACAAACGCGACATTTTCGAGAGGCAAATATTTTGGTGCACCAGTACCGCCCACTCACCCCATTTTATCCAACAGCGTAAAGAAACCTCCCGTTCATTGAATTTTCTTTGAAGATCATTTTGGTGCATACAAGACGGAGGAATTCGAGGCTTATTCCTTTTCCGAATCCAACCGCGTGAATGTCCCTCCCCCTTAAAACATCCCTAGTAAAATGTCCACGTTCCATCGCAGACTCAGCCAAAACTAATAGTCTCGTCGCGAATTGTTTCAGCTTTGGCCCCGTCAAACCGTCGTCATGTTTGTGGTTCTCAAACTTATTTATTCGCGGAGCCCCGTTGTTGTTTACGAAAATCTATGGAGCGCCAAAAACACGGAATGCCAATAATGCGTAGTATCTCCCGAGCCGTAAATTGTGCCTCTTAAATGAAAGGCGACTCGTATGCATATTTTTTAACAGAAACCGTTTTTCTGACCTTTTTTGCCGGGGTTTTCCTCCGTTATTTGGAAAATCGCCAGGGAAAATAAAAATCTGGCCTAGGATAATAGGGACGGGTGCAACCACTTTTGTAGGCGGGAAGTTGGTAAGATAGGATATAGACGGGAATTCAATGCATATCTGTACGCAACGATTAACCATTGTTAACGGAAAAACGACCCTGAGCGGAGTTCGGCCGATAGTGTTGCTTTATCAACAATGTATACATATACATGTCATATTATGGTAAAATAATTACATAATTACCCATGCATAAAACATTTTCTATAATAATATTTGTTAAATATTGTACCTGTTTTCCCGTGTTTCCTATTTATTTTTTCTCGGTTTTTCCAGTTTATTGGGAAAATCGAAAAAATGACCTCCCTAAAGTGATTTCCCAGTCAGATTTCCTTTTAGAAAAAATGCTATCGTCGTAAACCGAAGCGAAATCGCGAGTGTAAAAGTGATTCGCAGATGAGAAAAAGAAAAAAATGAACCATTTCAACGCGCCAGACGAGGAACTACAGAAGAGCGTACACCAGTAAAACTATCGTAATAGGTAATTATCATTTTTAATACGCGACCGTTTATATAATAAAAAAAAAAAAAAAATGCGTGTTAGTATTATACGAGACGCGTACATTATTCGGTTGTTAGGCGCTCGTATATTATGATATTATTGTACGAAACACACGAAAATTATTACCCCGTGAAAACAAACCCGCGGAGCGTTACTAAATGCGCGTTTCATTGTGTTATTCGGATGGATTCCGTTTATTCCCAAGTATTATACACCGTACCTATGGACGGTTGCCCTACGATTAATAATGGATTAGTTTATATTAGATATTATTATATCTTTAAATCGCGTTTTGAACGTACGCATATATATATATGTATAAATCTGTGTTGTATAATATTAAAATACTACGGCGGCGGTCAGTCGCGGCACAAATGTTAATTAAAACAACGGAGGAAAAAAAAAAATCACATTCAGTAATACGACCGTACGCATAGAGGAAGAACCTATATTTGTTCACACGCCTTAATAAAAACCGAGTTCTGTATGCATATTAAAAAGAAAAAAAAAACCTGCTTAACGCGATGACTGCGTATAATTTTAAAAGATAGCGTATAAGATTTATGTAAGAATAAAAAAAAAACCCGATTAGACGATGGGTACGCCGGGATATTAGCATACGAGAAAAATAAAAAAAAAATAAATAAACAATTGATAATTATCGGCATTTTACGTGGAAAATAAAAAAAACCTTTACTAATTATGCATACCCGCGCGCCATAGCCGTCTGGCCGGTCTTTTACGGCGGGTCACGCGCGTCCCTGAAACAATACGCGTTCCAAAAGTCGTGAAAAATGTGCGGATAATGGCGAACGACATCAGAGTTTTAATATCGGAGCGGGTAATCGCGTACGGCGGTACGTACGTGATTGATAAAGTACGTTTAATGAAGGACTTTTCGAGTAGCCGATCCGCGGGAAATTCGTTAAACGCCGCAGTTTTAGGTTAGCTCCGGCGCATGCCTACCTGTTCGATGGGGTCCGAGAGAACCGAAACGCCTTCGTCTGATTACGCGGCGGAATTTTTTTAAGTTCGCGCTTTTATGCTGTGTAATCCGTACGGAAAATTGCGTACGTCGGTTATCAACATAACCGCGCGAAATCGCCGCTGGGGAGACGCTATGACGCGTCGACACCGTAGACGACGATGTCGTTGCAGCGATACGGCACCCCGACGGCCGCGATATCGCCACTTTGTCTCTAGCCGGCGATTCGAATGGCAAGCGACCGGGCAACGGGCCTGCCAATGGACGGACGAAAAACAAAAAAAACAAAAACACATTCGGAACAAACGGCTTTTACGCCTGGTCGTCGTTGAACCGCGCGGAAAACGTACAGCGGCCCCGGCCGGTGACGCCGGAGTGTACCGTCCGGGTCTCTGTCGTCCGAAATTAACGCGGGGCGGCCGCCGGTACCGTTCAACACGACCGTTACTGCCGCGTTACTGTCTCGTCGTCCGCGACGAAATATTACGTTTCGTGTCCCGTACGGGATTCGGACACGCGGGGCCGCCCGTCGGTATATCAAAACAATTCCGAAATATTTGCGCGCTGCCGCCGACCGCCGTCCGATATGCTCCGCCGGCAATGTGTCCACAGCCCGTAGAAAACACTGTCGATTACAGAAACGCGCGCTTTCGCAGACGGCTCCGGCGTCGTCCCGGTCCCGCAATAGACGACCTGTACGCCCGAAAACTTTACCCCCGGAGAGCCGTCGCCGTCGGCCAAAAGGAAACGCGCGACCGACCGGAAAATTAACCGTTTGACTTTCAAACGGGGTTAAATTTCCAACTGCATTGTATATTATAGGTATTTAATATGTACATATATATATATAAAAAAAAAAAAAAATGATAATAAACGAATAAACAAAAAAAAAAAAAATGACGCAGGCGTCGAGGCTGTAGAGCGTAGACCATAGTATCCGGTAGCGCTCGTTTAAACGGGTCCGCGTTTACCGTCTATACATATTGCTCGTGCCGAAGCTCGGAACAATACTCGATTTTAGTAATTGCGAGTATAAAAGTTACAGTTAACTAACTATACTTTCTTCTTTTTTTTTTTTTTTTTTTTTTTTTTTTTTTCGTTTTATAGTGGCTAATCAATAGTTATGCTTCTCGTATGGGAAAAAAGTAACTACGCGTCGTTAACTATATGAACGGATAAAGCAACCGGAGAAAAAGTAATGCGTCAAGTTACGGTATTTATTGGTACGGGTATACATTACAGGTTCGATGGGAGGCCGACGGGAAAAAAAACTAAACTCTGAAGTTACACGGAAATTTAAGTTTTTGTAATTTTTTTTTTGAACCGCACATAATAGTTAATCATATCGTAATGATGAATACACATTAAATACGAGAATACTATTGAAGTTATAATGTGGACAAAAAAAAAAAAAAAACACGCCGAACTTCGATAACCGTTTAATTTAAGTACGTGTGTCATCTATATGTCACTGCGTGTCAACGATTACAATATATTTGACGCGCGGTGTGTATCTGTTTTTTGTTTCGGCGATACGCATGCGAACTGTCACAGACGCGCGCGCGCACACACACACACACACACACACAAAAAAAAAACCGTATGAATAATAATAATTTTAGATTGTGAGTGAACGCATTTGACATTACTACGGCGTGTTTTGCGTGTGTGCACGTTAACAACTTTTCGCTCTGTAGTCGGTGCATCGAACCGGTAATTTTCCGATCGCCCTCGTGGTTCTTTGGAAAACAAGTGTCGATAATTTTTGCCGATTTCTCGGCTGTAATTATACTCTGCTCGGAATCGTTTTTCGTTAACGGCGGCCTATCGTTGCGCGTAGATACAAACCGAATCGCTCGGGCACGCAGAACATAAGTATAGTCGGAAGGAAGGAACGGTTCGCGCGTATCCGACTCTCCTTCTGCTAAACCGCGGCGAATCCGTCAGCGCGGTACTATAGCGTTCTCTATTTCTTTTTTGTTTTCCGACTTCGTACACACACACACACACACACACACACACGCGTACATTCAAACAATCGCCCCGTCCGTAATTATCGTTATAATATACCGGCAATAACGTTTTTTAATAACCGACGGGGAAATAATGACCGCGAGATAGGTACGGCATTAATAAATCGTATTTATTGTTATATTTTCTCCGCAATAAAACGTTATAATTATCATTATCGAAGCGCGTGTTATTACGAAAATTAAAATCCGCATTAATTGTAATAGTATTATACGCGCGCGTAATAATTTTCCCGCGGACCCCGGGTAAGTATAAGTACCCGTGCTACCGGCGCACCGGGATTATTGTGACTAAGGTTCCTTCGTTTTTTTTGTTCCACGAGACCGGGCGGCGGGTGGGTATAGTAGGTATACGGGTACAAGCCGCCGCCGCAGCAATATTATAATAATATTACGCCCGGTTGTATATGTGTACGTATTATTATTACATTATAGTATATTAAAAAAAAGTAAAAACTGTTATTTCCAAACGGATCGTGAGAAACTTGATAATTGCGCGGTGTATTATTCGGAAGGCGAAACAAATAATAATAACTGTATCCGGTTTTAATAATAATAATAATACGTATGTATCGTGGAAGAAAATGTAGATTTTTTTTTATTTTTTTGCTTCTTTTGAAAATTAAGAGTTTATAATACGATGAAAATGATAAAAAAAAAAAATATATATATATATATATTATTAAAATATGAATTATGCATGCATAATAATAATAACAAACGATTTGCGTATGAGCAATTAATTAAATAATTATAATAGTACGCGGAGGCGACGACGTCTCGATCAGAAATTACACCGCGACTATTCTGTGTCCGTGTGTGTGTGTGTGTGTGTGTGTGTGTGTGTGTGTTTTTATACTATTATTTTTCAGTCACGAAACAATAATAATTGCCGCTGTAATAGCATAGCAGTCGGTTTTTCTTTCGTGTCGTAACTATATGTATGTACAATTACGATGTCTGGATTAATGTCGTTAAGTTCGGGGCTTTTTACGCGAGATGAATACAATATTTTCACTGTGCATCGTCAATCGTGTATTTCACAGGGGACGGCCGTTGTCATATGCTCTCGGAAAAAAAAAAAAAATGATAAGAAACCAGACGCGTATTATACAATATCACTGGTGCTGCCGAACGTTCCCGTCTACGAAAAAAATTACACATAGTCCGAATTGCGTCCGCGTTAACAATTGTTATGTACATATTTTCCCTCCCACTTTTACAGACTGATGAGGACCGTCATTTATGGCGTTAACAACGTTTTAACGGAATTGTTGTTAAAAATATGTTACATACTGTTCAATATTATAAATTATTCGTCGATCTAAAATGTATATTTTATTAAAAATAATATCATGTCCGACATTTTGTGAATATTATTATACGCAGACACCGTGTCAATTATTATTATTATTTTTGTTTTATAAAACGGGTACGCCAGTTTTTGAACGAACTCAAGACGTGATACATTTTTATTTCAAACTCATTCGTAGTAATAAACACGGTATTTTCAATAGAATCTTCGTTTTTTGCATCCTTTCATCGCTTGTTTGTTAAATTTGAGCTTTGCATTTTAATATGAATATAAGTTTGAACTGTTTTAAAAATGAACAACATGAACAAAATTAACTTCTAACAATAAATTGTAACGTGATATTTACCAACCGATAATAAGGTATTGCCGTATCGATAATCGACGGATAAACATTACCGAGTTCATCATCAAGCATACGCAGAAATAGAATAACAGTTATTCTTGCGGACGCAACTCGGAACAGTCGCCGAAAAACCGCGGACCCGACGCGGTTGTCGCGACGTATATTTTCGTTTTTTTTGAGACGCAATTCGTATGCAGCCACGTTTACATATAATACGCTCAGCGTTCCCATATTACGGGCGGGGTGAATCTGAATATTATGAATAATATCTATGTTAAACGTTTTTTTTCGGTCTGGGTCCCAAAATGCAATACTTAGCTAATTTATAGGAGAAGTAATTTTTTTTTTGAGTTTCGGGTACGTCCAAAAGGGGGGGGGTTTGATCGTTCGCCCTAAAAATTGTTTAAATCGCGTACAAATTTAATATTTAGAAATGCAAATGAGAACTATTACCCTGTAGGCTGTAGACATTGTAGATGGTTCGATGACCGATAAATTCGAATCACACTAATCACACTACCTGATGTAAAAAGTTACGTCACTGTAATATCGTGTACAATTATGTTATTATTAATATTACTTTTGCGAATCTTCTTATCATATAAATGATAACGTTGGAACTGTATCGCAGTAATAATATCGCCGACATCCGATTGACCGACTACTCGATATTTGGTGATAATGGTAAAAGTCCCGATTCGTCGACACACCGTACATAGTAGTCTCACAAAATACACAAATAATTTTTCATGCGGAAATCTATAGAATATTATGAAAATGTGTGCTTCGATCAAAGAGCTGAAAAATCAGCAAACAAACATCGAACTTGAACCCATTATACGAGATAAAAAAAAAAAGAAAAAACTGTAATCGGCCACAATAGGCGAAAACTGAATAGTATCGGAAGAATGATTATCGTTTGAAAAAGAACGGTAGGTATAATTACATATTGTATTCACAATTAATTTGAACGACAATAAAACTTCATATTTTTTTCCCCCTAAGAATGGTACCGTTCGTGTAATGGAATACTTGGACGCATTAATGTTCCGTTTTACGTACGACACGGATCAAATGAAAATGTAACAATAATATTGTATTAATTTTCGGTTGAAATAATACCTCTTGCAAAGGGTTACGGCGCAGTTAAAACGGTACGTTATAAATTTCAAAAGTGAAATAATTAATACGTACTATATGTACATGCAACATTCGAGCGTTTAAAATACGAAATTAACTCTGCGATAGTTATTAAACTTGGTCATTATTATGAAAAAGCTCAACGAAAAAAAAAACCCTAAATTTAATATGAAACAAAAGGGTTTTATTTGCGGAAAACGATTTAAAAAAAACTATTACAAAAAAATACCTACCGAGACATGTTATATACCTGTATAATAGAAAGATTATAAAATGACGTAATTTGTATGGAAATGCGCAAATCCTCGATTTGAATCAACGGTTTGATACACTTTGACTTTCTTTTTTTGTTTCTATCGTCTAAACGGTACTGCAATATTTTTAAAACGTTCGTACAATATCCGTTTCAAACAACGCGGTTGTTCGTATACAGAGCGCAATATTTTATAAGAGTACAAAATAAACAGTGGCGGATCCAGTGGACGACAGCCCCCCCCCCCATTCACTCTCCGATATATTCTTGGCTTGATTCATCACCGAGCTCGTCATAAATTCAAGCCTTATATTTTCAAAATCGCCCCTCCCGTTATCTTGTCCTGGATCCGCCCCTGGTAATAAGGTATAAAGTACTTCGGATGAAACTCGCACGGACGGAAAAATACAATAATAATATAATTCCGTAAAAGACCTAATCGAATAATAGTTGTATAAAAAAAACGTCAAAACCCTCCCTCCCCTCGTTTAAACGCGTCGGGCCCAAAATAAAACTGTCCACGTTTTCCCGGACTTTCGCTTGTAATGATAAATTATTATTGCGATTATTATCGCGGACGTAACAATATGGTTCGGTGTGTTGGCGGAGCGGTTTTTTGTCGAAAAACCAAAAACAGTACGGAAGATCGATTGGCATATAGTATTTTCGAGAAAAAAAATAAAAAAAGAAGAAAAAACTTAAATCCGATGTACTAAGAAGCATACACTATGTTCGAAATGCGTACGTACGATATTCGAATACGATAATCTGTTATTATTTTGTAGATACGAAAAAAAAAAACAAAGACAGTGTAACATATTTAGTATAATCGCCGTTGCTCATGCGTACCGCGACCGAGTGTAAAAAGTTACCTATAGTATGGAAAACACACGTCCAAGCGCCAAATTTCCATTCCTAAAACATGTGTTTATACGAAAAGTGTCCAAGTTTACAAGTCGTTTGTAGTTTAGGTGCCGCTTAACGCATAACGATGATCAATGATCGAAATCAAAATCGAACACAATTTAAATGTAGGTAATAATTTAACTTCGGTTTATCGATATCGACTTGCTAATAGCCGACGGTTAGGTTTCATTCGCCGAGTGAAAAATATAAAACTAACGAACGACCGAATCGCCGCGGTGTACCGGGAAGTTTTACAAAATAAACTCGACAATATGCTGGTAATCCTCGCTAAAATATGCAAAATAATAACACCGTGTTTTTTTTTTTTATTATCTCCAGCCAGTGTAACGGGTTTCTATATTTCATATGACACTAATGAAATACTTTTCTGTATAGCTGCGTTTATGTGTTCCTCGGACTCATTGAAAAAAAAAAAAAAAAATTAAATCGCAACAAGCGGTGCAACCGAGGGGGGTGTTTCGGGGGTGTGACCCCTCCGCCGCGAACAGCATTCATGGAAATTTACGATGAATTCGGAAAAAAATAAATAAAACTCGGATTTTTATTGAATAAAAAAAAAAAAAATTGTACGAGATTGTTTTTTTAGAGTATGCGATACGCTTTTTTCATACACTATCGAACGCCAGACAGCCACCCGCAGCGGAAGCGTGCGTTCAGAAATAAGTCGCGGGGAGGAGGAGGAGGAGGAGGAGGGGCGGGTTTCAATAAATTAGGTGGATCAATTTCACCCCCATCACCGAAATTTTGTCCGCCCCATCGACAAACACGACGTTCGACGAATCGTTAAGCTTTATATTATAAGTACCCACGCGCAGCACCATCGCAATATTATTATTACTGAATAAATGACTTTTGATGGCATTAAATTGTATTGTATTCCGCGCCACACAACGTATAGGTACTCGTATTGCGTACGTCGTCGATTGTAAAACTCGATTTGAAACACGCAGTGGAGAAAGACATTTCGGGAGGGGTTTTGACCGCCCCCCACCAACCTCCCTCCGGTGTAAAACCGAGAAAAATTGTTTAAACAGACCGCGGCCTATTCGTATCGCACGTTGTGATATTGTCGCGTATTGTCTTATACGCACGTCTTAATATTGTACGGCCGGTAGTAGAACAACACGACTACGCGGCTATAAAGTGCATATTATCGTTAAAAATTTACATGTGGTTAGCAGCTGGGGCCGCAGCCGCCGTCTCTAACCGAGAGCCTCGTGCATTGCGTGCGCGCGGCACCATCGTCAGGACGCAGCGACACGACGGTTTTCGCCGCGCGGTTATCGAGTATCTCCGTGGGAGAGAGGGATGTTTGAAGGAAAAAAAAAAGCTAAAAAAAAAAAACGAGAAAAAAAACGCCGTATTAAATGTATACGTATGTATTTTGTTGTTTTTTTTTTTTCGGTCGTTTAAAACTATACGCGCGAAAACCGTGCACTACAACACACGCGCGGCGGCGAACACACACGTCTGTACGTTTTTACAGGGGCTAATAATAAGTGGCGGCGGCGGCGGCGGACCAATTCGAAGTGCGCGAGCGGTTTTTTTTTTTTTTCTATTCGAAGCGCAGGGTTAATATAAATATATATATATATATTTTTTTAAATGATTTTATTTTTCGTCCGTTTTTTTCTAATACGATTTGAACGTTAAAACGAACACACGACTACGGCGTACATCGTTGTGCCGCAGAACCGCGTCGTGTGATATGAAACTATAAATACAATCAAAATACACACCGTAAGTATGTGTTATGATAGATTCGATATTACGAGTGTAATAATACTGCAGTTATTTATGGTGCGCGCGGCGTTTGCGTGATGCGACGATGCGATGCCACACGCGTCGATAAACGACGGGAAGACACGCCGCGGATAATAATTTTCTACAACGTAGTTTCGCGAAAAAGTAAATTTGTTCTCGGGCAAAAAAAAAAAAAAAGAAAAAAAACGAAACCGTACAAGACACGAGATGACGACGTTATAATAATATGATTATCAATTCGGTATTTGATTTCGAAGCCCGATTTCTGTAATATACGCGCACGGTCGCCGCGGATAACGATAAAAAAAACCGTAAAAAACTGTATTAGACGGACAAAAAAAAAAAAAATAATAATAATAAAAAATACTAATTGTTTTATACTGCACCGGTACGCGATATTAAAAATGTTGTTTTTTTCTGGGTTATAATAAATTGATAATTACCGGCTGGGCTGCTGCGCTCGCGCCAGAGTCGCGCGTCCTCTCGGCATCATAATCACGTACGTACGTATAACGTCATTACCGCAGTGTCTAGTCGTAACGGAACACCTGTCGAACACTGCGCGCAGGTACGTACGCATAATCCTGGTGCAGATGGCACGGGCGATATTCCGTATCCAGAAAGGTGTGTTTTTTCTTGACCACCTGTTATTGTTCTGTTCTTTTACTTTCGTAAACGCCCGATTAAAATGACGTGAATAAAGGTGGACCTGTACGCACGATACACAGGCGTAATAATATACGCCATAATGCATAATAATATTACAGCCAGCCGCGGCGTATTTAGGATTCAGCCGAGGGGGGGGGGGGAGGTATTGAATGACGAGACGATTCCGCGTGGGGCTTCTTTTTATCAGGGACGGAATCGGTATGTAATCCTTTTTTTTCTCTGTTACCCGGAACGGTACTCGGATGCGACCGATTCCGTCGTGTCATCGTGCGTCCAGATCAAACCGGTATCGATTTGTGTATGACATTATTCGAGAGCGATTTATAATAATCGACTTATGATGTATGAGTTACCATGTTACCATGCGATGTACGAGTTTTCGGGGGCGGGTAAACATGCGAAGCGCTAAGTACGATAACCCCCGGTTCGCTATAATGTCTTTTTTTTTCTCCGCGTGGTGTCGATCAGTGGAGTCGCGTTTTTCGAATTCAGCTCGGTTTGATTCGGTTCCCCGAACAGGACGCTGCTTATCGTCTCTCGTTTCTCGACTCGTCGTACCCTTAGGCGATTCAGAGTTTTCCTCAGATTTACTACCTATATCATTATATAAACCGATGCATACTAATCTGTTGCCGCCTTATTCTGCACGTTCGTTGTAAACGGTATCTCTCAAATTTTCCAACCAACCCCCACCCCACTTCTTTCATAAATACGCCCAATCGTCTCTTCTAGAGTACAGTGGGATATTATTCGAAACGAGTATTGTTTATTTATTTATTTTTTATATTTTTTTCACTAAATTAAAACGTGTCGTTTTATATTCGGCTGCGGACAAACGTCATACGCATTATACTAATATACAAACTTAAATGTTTGTGTACATTTTAACGTTTGGTTTTTTTTTTATTATTTACTTTGATAATTATATCTATTTAAATTTTGGTGTTTATATCACCACTTACGTATTATTATACATGCGTAAAAAGTTAACGAGTAAATACAAGGAACACCGACGCAGTATATTTTCGTTTTTAACAATTATTATTCGGATTTTAACGCATTTGTAGGGTAAATAAACATTACAATATATTAGAGATGAGTTTGTTTGTTTGTTTGTTTGTATATTCGATATATATATAGTGTGAGTGAGGGTGACGGGGGGGGGGCGGAATATCGTAAACACGTGGCGGTATACTCTTATACATTAAAGAGTTCGTTATTCGAATTTCCCAGTACGGCAGAGACAGAGAAATGGAAACAAATAATTCTATATACTATCAAAATATATATTTTATACACCGCAAAAGAGACGGAACGGGAGAAAAATGATACGCGTTTAAAAACGAAACTCTAAGTAGGTTACCGTTGAATGGTTTTTCGACCGCTATGATATGGGTACGTTATTATTATTGTTATTATCGCAGTGCACATAATAATATTATAAAAGTGCGAATTTGAAACGTGTAGTGATTTTTATACTCGTAAAGGTAAATTACCGTAAAGGTAAAGACGTACCGCTGTGTATAATATAGAGAGTCACACGCGCGCGCCAGCCGAAGTTTTTATGAATTGAAATAAATTATGCGCGTACGAAAATGTATCTACGTAGGTGAAATATTACGTATTTGATTGTGAAAATTTTGTGAAATTGAATGAATTCGACGGTAATTTATCGTACAATTATTATCATTATGTATATATATATATATATGAGTATACCTAAAAATAATATATAAGTATATATATATATATATATATAGGTATCGTAAAAAACATCAGAGACATCAGACAAACGTTGGCGCTTAATTTTAACGAAACGACGACGAGACGATATAAAAATTCGCAATAAAACAGAAATTTTTGAAATATACGGTAAATTATCATTGACAATAAACTATACAGTTTTATTTTATTTTATTACTTTTTTTTTTTTTTTTATTATCATTATTATTATTCATAAACATATTGTATTAAATAAAAAAAAAAAATAATAATATATATAATAATATATAATATTTGCATACAAATATACAAATAAAACTGTATAGTTGTGTATATTTATTATCACATACAGTAATAATATGCGTATACGGAATTCCGCTGTTGAACATACGCTACGCGCGCATATGGATGCCATTATTAAAAAAAAATATATTATATATTATTATATTTTATTGTATAGTTGTCATAATGACGTGACGTGTGTTTTGTGTAGTCGTAAAAAAAAAAAAAAAAATTGAACGATTATCGTAAAAAGTTTACCGTGTGATACTATAATACTTGGGCGGTTCCGATAAATTAATACGTATAATAATATAACAATTATAATATTCTGTATTGTCGATTTTATTGCATTCGGTTTTTACATTCAGCGCGTGTAATATTCAGCTGCACCGGTTAGGTTAGTTTAGGTTTTTTCAAGCTAAAAATCGGTTTTGCGCCGAGACGCGGTTTGTTCTCTATACATCTCTCGGGAAACATTTTGTTGGGTTATTGAAAACGCGAAGATTTTTGATCACTACCTTTCTGTAAAAAAAAAAATATAGAAATATCGGCCGGCGGTACATAATGCGATACATTTTTAGATTCTGACCGAAGCGAGGGATGTGTTGATTTTTCATTAATGATGTTTTTTTATTATTATTATTATTGTTATCATAATTACTATTATTTATTTTATCTGTGAGCGAAATTTCTTCCGGAAATTTTACTCCGATTTTCAAGTGTATAACTTCTTTTCCGAAAGAAAGTTTTTTATCAATTTGGTACTTTGGGGAGGTCGTTTTTTGATTTTTCCAGTTTTCATAATAATTGGCAAAAACGGGAAAAATATTACCAAATAGAATTGCTGAAAATTGAACAGGTGGTTCATTATAGGTCATGCTTTGTGGTAAAAAAAAAAAAAAAATTGAGTAATGCAGAATTTTTTTATAAGAATTTTAATATCAAATTTTGACGAAAATCGTAAATATTACGGCCTTTTAAAACATGTACAACCGAACCCCGCTCAGAATCGCTTTTCGTTTGCAATGATTAATCGTTGTGTACAAATATAAATTTAATTCCCCTCTTTATCCTATAACCTTCTCAGCTTCTCACCTACAACAGTAGCCCACCCGTCGTGCGAAATATTTTTTTTCTGATTTCTCAACTGTTTATCGCCGGATTTTTTTCTTTTTATTCGACTTTACACCCCTCGAAAAACATTTTCGCATTTAACAGTTAAAATACCTTAAAACAAGAAGCGGATTTTTAGTGACCGATGGTTCAAAAAACGCGTCTATAGATTATTCCAACAGTTTTTTCGCGAAAAAAGAAAAAAAGAAAACCCGGTAAACGATGAAACGTAGGTTTTAGTCTCTACATTGTAAGACTTCAAATAGTATAATAACGTTTTTTAGATTCTGAACGGAGCGAGGAATGTATTTTTTTTTTTTTTTTGGTTTGTTTTCTCGCTTTTTAACGGAATAATTACTAACATAAAAGTTGATCCGAGGGCTTGAAAGTTCTTAAGATTCAACAATAACTATACTGTTTGACAGTCATTCCTGTGTAGGTTCATACACATTATATATTATTATTATACAATACGAGTTTAATGTTATGTTGTTCAATAAAACACACGCGTACCGCCAGACATAACTGATTACGTAGCGATTTTTTTTTTTTTTTTTTTATTGTTATTTCTTAAACATTAAAACTTGACGGCTCTATTTGAAGTTTTGTGTCTACGCTCAATATCGATTTTATCGTATAGCATCGCGCACACGCGGCTGAGGGTAAGGATGGAGGATGTTTTTATGTGTTTTACAGGCACCTTAGGTATATTATACATTGTTTAGAGCAAAATAATAGCGAGATTACACCTAACTCGAAATAAAATAATAATAATAATATGTCGGTAGGTACCTGTACGCGTCTTATATATTATTATAATAACGTTCGGGCGGAAACTTCTTTTCTAATTCTTCCCTAATTGACTTTATCCCTATGGGACTTCAACAAATTTCGTATAATTTTAAATAGAAGCAATTTATATTTCGAAAATTCATATCCTAGGGCGTATAAATTTTGTAAACGTTTTTTTTTAGTTATTCAGATCGGGGGGGGGGAAGGAAAAATTACATAAGACAAAATTATAAAAAAAATAAAATAAAATTGACTTACAGAGCACATGCTCACTTCACCGTAACGTAGCCAATATAAGGATCTGACCGGCCACAAATTCATAATATAACAATAATATACGAGTTCTCTCTATAGTTTGCGAAAATCAGTAGTGCAACCATTGGAGGGGGGGGGAGTCGTGGGCTATAATCTCTACCGCCACCCTAGATTTTGCTTTTACGGATTCCACGTGTATACGATACGCGTAGCGCGGTCGCATAATATTTTTATCGCAACAACGGACATTTTCATGTAATGTCGAACAATTTATCGCAATTCATGTCGAAAACCCGTGCGGTTGAAATTTGTTTTGAATTCACCCCCCGTCCGCCAGAAAAAAAAAAAAAAAACGAATTCGGATCGCGTCGCCGGGCGAAAGAGCCGGTCCGCCATTTGTGCGGGAATTATAATCTCTCTCCGTCTTTTATCACCGCATGCCGTTTTTATTAACGCGTCTGGATGTGCCCCGCGTACCATAACGATATACACGCGACGACGAGTCTCTGGTAATATTATAATCCCTGCACGTCAAAGACGCCGGAAATCGGTCGCACATGATACGCACCCGTACAAAAAACGTTATCTTTGATCGCGGGGTGTTAGAAATAAAATAATTTTTTTTTTTTTTTTGTCGAAATCTATACTACGACGCGATACGACAAACAATAACGATTGGATTATACAAATCGGCCCCCGCGTATTATAAACACGGCCAATAACAATCGTCGATAATTGTTATTATTGTTACGACAGTATAATAACATATTTTATGTGTTGTACGCGTGTGTTATTATCGCGTATTTTAGATAACCGGCGACGATGAACGCCCCCCTGTGTGTCCGATATTATGTTATTATGATCCCGTCCGCACATGTGGT